CACTATTTCAGCTTATGTTGGCCGGTGTTCGCAATCTGGGACCATGAGATATTCAATGTTAAGTTCAATCTGGCAATGAAGAACGGAAACATCACCCGCGATCAGATCATGTGCTGTCGGATGGAGAAGCTATGGCACTGTCAACTAATCTGCGTCATGACGACACACTGTATGTCCTTCTTCTTCAACCAACACAGTCACTTGTGCCAGTTCCACACTGTTGTGTTTAACACAGACGTCGCGGCTAATGGCCAGGATTGGTTGCGGTATTATTCCAGGAACCACGGTACCGTCTCATCCTTGTAACCTTTATGTGGCCTAGCACAGTGATGTCCCTATGGGGGCGGTGGGGTAGCCTAGTGGTGAAAGCGTTGGCTCGTCACGCCGAAGACCCGGGTTCGAATCCCCACATGGGTACAATGTGTGAAGCCCATTTCTGGTGTCCCCCGCCGTGATGTTGCTGGAATATTGCTAAAAGCGGCGTAAAACCAAACTCAGTCAGTATGTCCCTATGACGAACCAAAAACCTATGATTGCAGATTCAAATACCGATTCGGAGAAACAGCATAACTGGAATATTGACAAGTCCTATCACCGTTGCGTAGATCGATGCTCATGATGTCAATCACTGGATTGTCTGGCCCAGATTCGGTTGTCTACAGACCGCCGTCATATAGCTGGAATATTGCTGAGTGCAGCGTTAAGAAATAACAAACCCTCAACACGGGTTTAATCTCGGCTCAATTCCTGGAAATGTAGGGTGCCCTATTGTCAGTAGAAATATGCTGATCCAATGTTGACATGTGGTTATGTTAAGGTAAAAGCGAGTGACAGAACTTAATCTGTCTGTAAAAAAATATGGTACGCACCACAGAAACGCACTACAGATGTATTTATCTGAGAAAAAAAGGTATTGTTTTATTGTTCATAGAACTGTTTACCCAAGAGTAGCAATGTCGTGGTGCATATATGAAACGAAACACAAGGTTACTGATACTCCATTAATTTCCACTCAGTACTCTAAATGTACACTTAAGGTTGCCCAGTACTCCTATACTGAACAAACAAGGAAAACGTACTCCTGATGTTGACAAATTATCTGGAGCCCTGAACTTTCTTTCAAAAACATATAAGTGGTTCAAATTAAGATAGAAAAGAAGGTAAACAAGCGTGAACAGATTAAGATGACGGATTAGATTTAAATTGTTATAGGAAAAATCAATTCATGATCACACAATAAACTATGAATGACAGTTTTATACTGGCAAATTCCATACGACGACAGAATTGCAAAACTTTCGAGAATGCAGACAGTTACCAGAACATTGAAAACCTAAGTTCGGCTACACAACTAAGATACCCGTAAGTCATCACTGACAAAAACATTTCTTGTTAGTTTCAGGTTTAGCAAACATTGAGCGTACATCCTTTTGCCTGACAAATTAAAGTAAAATAACCGTCTTTTTAGTATTTTTAATCTGATGAGAGTACGGAACCAGACTCCTCTTTGGGCAAAGGTCACTTCAGCAGCTCCATCTCGGTTCCTACACAATCAGCAAATACGAATACTTGCGACTGAGAAGATTCCATGCACTGACCTACCTCCCTGGTCAAAGAAGATTGGTCGCATCCTCTTCAAGCGGCATCGTGTCTTCACAGTTGGATGTCTTTGGTTTGAAGGTTCTGCAAAGAATGGAGCGATGTCCCAACATATCTACAGACGAAGATCAAAAGCCCTTATTTCTCATACAGTGGACTGGCGGGGTAGGCAGAAAGGACCTTGAAGGAGAATACTACAAGCTTATTTTCAAATATAAATCTAAATATGGCCGTTCTCGAAACATTGCATCTAGTTCTAAAGAGGAAGTAGTGTATGTTAGTTTTGTATCGACAATTATTTCAATAACATACTTTGGTGATGTTAAACAGGAACTTCGCTATCACAGATCCATGCATGTTCGTGGTATAACCTTGGACCGGGATAGAGGTGAGCTGTATTACAATAGCAATGGTGTTTTATACAAAACGTTGTTGGCACAAAATATAACAACCATGATTACTAAGATCGGGACGGCTCCAGTTCGTATCCTGTATCATGGTAATACGATGTACATGACCAACGGCAACTATGTCAGGACCTTGGATCTGAACACTAGGAATGTACTTCATAACAGCTTAGCTAAAAACGTGTGTCAGTGCTGTGTCTTGTTCCCTGATAACCAACAGAACGTGGGTCAGCACTGTGTCTTGTTCCCTGATAACCAACAGAACGTGGGTCAGCACTGTGTCTTGTTCCCTGATGACCAACAGAACGTGTCAGCACTGTGTCTTGTTCCCTGATAACCAACAGAACGTGTGTCAGTGCTGTGTCTTGCACCCTGATAACCAATACAACGTGTGTCAGTGCTGTGTCTTGTTCCCTGATGACCAACAGAACGTGGGTCAGCACTGTGTCTTGTTCCCTGATAACCAACAGAACGTGTGTCAGTGCTGTGTCTTGCACCCTGATAACCAATACAACGTGTGTCAGTGCTGTGTATTGTTCCCTGATGACCAACAGAACGTGTGTCAGCACTGTGTCTTGTTCCCTGATAACCAACAGAACGTGTGTCAGTGCTGTGTCTTGTACCCTGATAACCAATACAACGTGTGTCAGTGCTGTGTATTGTTCCCTGATAACCAACAGAACGTGTGTCAGCACTGTGTCTTGTTCCCTGATAACCAACAGAACGTGTGTCAGCACTGTGTCTTGTTCCCTGATAACCAACAGAACGTGTGTCAGTACTGTGTCTTGTTCCCTGATAACCAATGTCTTGTTCCCTGTGTACCAAAGGTCTCGACGTAGGGCGGTGTCAGTACTGTGTCTTGTTCCCTGTATTGTATCGTGAGATCTCGAGACGGCGGACGTCAGTACTGTGTCTTGTTCCCGGTGTATTGTACGTCAGTACTGAGACGGTCCCTGATAACCCGAGGCGTACTGTGTCTTGGATTGTCAGTACTGTGTCTTGTTCCCTGTGTATTGTATCGTGAGAAGGTCTCGAGGCGGCGGACGTCAGTACTGTGTCTTGTTCCCTGTGTATTGTATCGTGAGAAGGTCTCGAGACGGCGGACGTAAGTACTGTGTCTTGTTCCCTGATAACCCGTAGGACGTGTGGCAGTACTGTGTCTTGTTCCCTGTGTATTGTATCGTAAGAAAGTCTCGAGACGGCGGACGTAAGTACTGTGTCTTGTTCCCTGATAACCCGTAGGACGTGTGGCAGTACTGTGTCTTGTTCCCTGTGTATTGTATCGTGAGACGGTCTCGAGGCGGCGGACGTCAGTAATGTGTCTTGTTCCCTGTGTATTGTATCGTGAGACGGTCTCGAGACGGCGGACGTCAGTAATGTGTCTTGTTCCCTGTGTATTGTATCGTGAGAAGGTGTCGAGGCGGCGGACGTCAGTACTGTGTCTTGCTTTGTGATGTGGCGTCTACAGGATTTCAATACTGCTTCTTGTGTCATGAGTAGTTGGCTTTTGGGAAATATAAATACTGTGTACTTCATCCTGAATGACGATATTACGGATAACAATATTGTCAAGTTTCATCCTTCACGATCAGGCGTGTTTGGAGTTGACTCCTAATTCGGTCAAAGTTAACTAAATATCTTGTAGGTATTGATAGAGTACATTGGGCGATGAGCTTGGTGACCACCACCTCCAAGACAAGTCCTCTCACTATAATTTACAGAAGTAGAGTTGTTCTAGTTTGTTTATAGATGTACAGTACAACCAGAAATTATTGAGAATTTAAAGATTGTAATTTTTTATTTTTCACTCATTACTCACGTATTAAATGTGAATATTAGCAGAACATAACTCCAGATTCAAAGACAGGTGAACAGTTAGTATTTTGTCAAGTCACCATGGGCAGCAATGTAGGCTTCAATGCGGCTGGGCATTCTACTTATCAAAGAAGTTAGAAAGTCGTGGTCCATTCTATCCCAATATCGGACCACTTCTTCTTTCATTTCAGCAATATTTGTCAGATTTTTCTTATTGACACTTTCCTTCATAAGTCCCCAAACATTTTCTATTGGATTTAGATCAGGGCTATAGCTTGGCCAATCTAATAATGTCATATTTTGGGTCCGAAACCAGGCCTGTGAATGCATTGAACGATGAATTGGGTCGTTGTCCTGCTTGAAAATCAAAACATTTCCATAGAACACGTGAGCAGATGGAAGTAAATGTCCCTCGAGCACATCTGTGTACCGCTCACTGTTCATATTCCCTTCAAATACACAGAGGGGCGTTACCCCTAACACAGATATGCCACCCCACACGTTAAATTTCGGACTGTACTTTGGGCGCTGAGACAAACTTCAGTTTGTTTGGTCCAGAATTTCAGTGTATTAGGAAACAGCCACACAGTACTTTCATCTGAGAAAATCGTGTTGTCCCAGTTAAAATTTCTATGCTGTAAGCACCAGTTCAACCTTCGCTCCTTTTGTTCAGGTTTCATGATCGGTGATGGAATTCCTCGACTTCTTTGCCAACCCATTGCATGCAGCTCAGTTCTAATTGTCTCCTTACAGACAGCCACAGTTCCTCTATCAATCATATCCAGCCTTAAGTTTTCTAAACTCCTTCGTTTGTGTGTTTAGAAGCAAGAATACCAAGCCGCCTCCTGTCACCGAGAGTCACTTTTCTGGGCCTACCTGCGCCTCCCCGGTGCTCAATGCCGTATCCATTTGCAATATGTTTCAAACCACGATAAACAGTGGACAAAGGGATGCCTGTTCTACTTGAAATCACTTTAGCTGATCTTATGTCCTTGTTATGATATTGTAAAATCAACTTCCTCTTCTCTAAATCATCCATACTGAGGATCACTGAAAATGTCGTCTGCTAGCAAGAAAACAAAGGGGGATAACTCTTCACAAACTAATGAAAAAGGATTAACGGGCTTGTCTCTCTTGAATGAAACCAAGCACTTGATAGCTGGGTGCCGTTCCACTAACCGATCTTAGCCCTACGCCAATCGTAAACCCCTAAAATCCCATCTTAGCGTGACGTTACGATCGGCATACCGTTCCACTAACCAATCTTACCCAAGTCAATCCTAAAGTTAAGATTCAAAGTCTAAGTTGCTCATGACCAACTTAGGATAGCTAAAATCAACCGTAGAGAAACCAAAATGGTGGCTTTCCTATTTCCTGTGAAAATAAGAGCGAGCAATTTCACCGTGAGCGTCCCCAAAAAATCCCCCATGAAATGAATTTGTACATTTCTGTGATGTAAACAAACACTGCACTGAAGCCCTACGAATGTCAGGCCAGTCTGACCACTGTCGTCATGGGAACACAACCGAGCGAGTCGGTGTAACACATTTGTACAACAATATTGCAACGTGGTCGGGTCATGAAGTGAACAATGTTCTGAAACAAAAAGATACAAATATGTTTGATTTCACGTGCGCTTATTTGGTGGGGGATTCTAAAGGCAGGCCGCGTGTTATTGAAGACCACTGACAGATTCTACATACGTTATAGAGGATGCTTCGTCACGCCTTGTTTATTCTGATTGACAAGGTTCAGGCACATATTAAAAGCTCTGACATAATTGACATTTTTAAAGTCCAGACTTAAAACCTGTTCTCAGTATATTACTTATAATCTCGGCTGTAAATACTCTCGCGTAAATTATCTGTACATAGCGCTTTGAGCATGCCCAAGGATGTGGAATAGGCGCACTATAAATGTGCATTTATTAGTATTATATTATGCCTGATACCCAGCGTTCACACGCACTTGCACCTGAAACCAAGGTGCTCACTACCCTAATATTTTGCTCTAGGTTTTTTCTCCACGTTTACACTTGGTTGGAAAAATACCCATGAAGGCCCGGGTTAGAATATTGAACTTCAATAACCCATGCTTGTCGTAAGAGGCCACTAACGGGATCGGGTGGTCAGGCTCGCTGACTTGGTTGACACATGTCATCGGTTCCCAACTGCGCAGATCGATGCTCATGCTGTTGATCACTGGATTGTCTGGTCCAGACTCGATTATTTATAGCTAAGATACATAGCGTTCACTAGCATGAACACTCATGTTAGTGAACGCTATGCATCTTAGCTAGATTATTTACAGACCGCCGCCATATAGCGGGACTATTGCTGAGTGCGGAGTAAATCTAAACTCACTCACTCACTCAGTTGGCTCGTAAACTACTTCCATCATTTGCTAGACTATACAAAGGGAGATAACTCGTGCCTCGCATTCCTCTATCTCTCGCACGAAAGAGTCTCGATCTAAACTTGGATCGGATCGTAAGATCGGGTAGTGGAACGGGTGTAACTTTTAGCTAAGACGATTGTAAATATTGGCGTAACTTCCTAAGATTGATCTTAGATAAGATCGGTTAGTGGAACGGCACCCTGGTCAAGGTTGTTTATACTAGAAATCCAATTAAACATAGTCGTAAAATTCTCAATAATTTCTGGTCATACGATACGTGAATGATGTTCCAATATATACGAAACGTATGCACAGCTATTATAACAATAAAACTTATCTCTGGTGTCATATTGTGTCTGCTTTTGAACGAACCATAAATAACAACAAATTCCCCCAGTAATACAAAAGCTAGCTCCACATAATCAAAATGCATCATAACTTTGGTGTTACTGTATTTTGTTTAACGCTGCACTCAGCAATATTCAAGCTATATGGCGGCGGTCTGTAAATAATCGAGTCTGGACCAGACAATCCAGTGATCAACAACATGAGTATCAATCTACGCAACTGGGAACCGATGACATGTGTCAACCAAGTCAGCGAGCCTGACCACCCGATCCCTTTAGTCGCCTCTTACGACAAGCATGGGTTACTGAAGATCAATATTCTAACCCGGACCTTCTCGGGTACTCAGCAATAGTAACGTTATATGGCAACAATTTGTACATAAGTCAGACTGACCCAGACAATCCTGTCATTCACATTATGAGCATCTATCTACGAATTCCCAAGTCACAAAATCTGCCCACCAATTAGTTGCCTTTTTCGACATGCACAGCTGCTGGACACGTATATTCTTACAAGGGATCATGACCAGCTGTGAATGTCGGACAACAGATGGTACGATCTCGCAGCTAGAAGGCAACATTATATCCGACCTACGATATTATTGTCCAAGAGCGTTCGTTGTGGTTACTCTCGGATGGTAGTTCAAGAGGCGGAAGACAAAAGTCAGCAGTATAGTTGAAGACAGCAGCAGCCATGTTTATTATGGTTGGGGAATAATGGTAGAAATGGTACATAAGATGGAAATCACGTGACAGAACGCACATCGGGTCGGAGTGGCCAATGTTCCCGATGTGGAGACCCGCTCTGTCACTTACACACATTCAGAAGTCGGACGGCGATGACTTTTATGATAAAAGGGCTACACCGAATGATTGCTGAATACATTAAACAGACAAAGGGGATAGAATTTCGGTGCACTTTGGATGTATATGGAAACAATTATGTTGTTTGAATATATGAAGTTTTACAGAAACTTATAGAAATGGTTTACTCTATGACATTATTTCCAAATTGCCAAATTGAGGCGCATATGTTATTCTAGAAATCGATAAATACAGAATTAAACTGTGAGAGTAGCAAACGAACCACACAAGATCAGTAACTAATTAATGTACTGTGTTTAAACAAGGGAAAAAACATGGTTCAAATTTGGTTGGTTGGTTGTTGTTTAAGCAGTTTAACGGCAATATTCCACCTATATGGCGACGGTCTGTAAATAATCAAGTCTGCACCAGACAATCCAGTGATTAACAGCATGAGCATCCATCTACGCAACGGGGATACGATAGCATGTGATCCCGTTAGTTGCCTTTTACGACCATCATGGGTTCAATGGATCAATTCTAACCCGAGTCTAGCTGGGTACTAGCTACATGAAGTGTGGTCGTACTACTTCTTCCATGTTAAACACACCCTGAGAACATATTTGCATTTCATATTATGACTACTGCATGAATGGTAATTAATTAATATAAGTGTTTTCACGACTGTTCAGAATGTTATCCTTGTGTAATGTCTTGAAATATGCGAGTCTCATTCTTTAATATGATATATTATTGGATGGATTATTATAGGAACAGCCTTCTAGTCATGCCCTGTGCCGAAACTTCTCGCACGATCGAGCCTGGAATGTGTGTAAACAACCAGGGACGGATAACTCTGAACTGCCGACAACATGTTCTGTGTTACTTGAAGTCATCTGTTGCCATTACCCACTGTTACACGCTGACGTGGCAGTTTCGAGTTTAGCTTTCACGTGGAATAATTCTAGTTTGGAATAATTCTGGACTTTGGATTCATGATTCATCTAGAGGACCTCTAGAGAACACGAAACAACGGAAGAGGATTGAAGCAATTCAGCATTACTCATGCAGCTTAAGGCTGTTGTGCGTGTGCGTGTGTTTGGTTGCATTTTTATTTAGAATATGTTATATTTGGGATTACACTTTCTCAGTTAAGTACAGATTCTAGTACTTTTTTGGTTGAGTCCCATCCGGGATTCGAACCCACACCCTCAGAGTCAGGCACCTTATCGCCAGCACCGCTCAGCCACTGCAAGTACTATATAGGACTCCGGGTAGTACTTGTTTTATCCCTTCACGCCGAGGACCAGGCAGGTAATATTTAGGACGCCGGGTAGTACTTGTTTTATCCCCTTCACGCCGAGGACCAGGCAGGTACTTTATATAGGACTCCGGGTAGTACTTGTTTTATCCCTTCACGCCGAGTACCAGGCAGGTACTATATAGGACTCCGGGTAGTACTTGTTTTATCCCTTCACGCCGAGTACCAGGCAGGTACTATACAAGACTCCAGGTAGTACTTGTTTTATCCCCTTCACAACGAGGACCAGGCAGGTACTATATAGGACTCCGGGTAGTACTTGTTTTATCCCTTCACACCCAGGACCACACAGATACTATATAGGACTCCGGGTAGTACTTGTTTTATCCCCTTCACGCCGAGGACCAGGCAGGTACTATATAGGACTCCGGGTAGTACTTGTTTTATCCCCTTCACGCCGAGGACCAGGCAGGTACCATATAGAACTCCGGGTAGTACTTGTTTTATCCCTTCACGCCGAGGACCAGGCAGGTACTATATAGGACTCCGGGTAGTACTTGTTTTATCCCTTCACACCGAGGACCAGGCAGGTACTATATAGGACTCCGGGTAGTACTTGTTTTATCCCCTTCACACCGAGGACCAGACAGGTACCATATAGAACTCCGGGTAGTACTTGTTTTATCCCTTCACGCCGAGTACCAGGCAGGTACTATATAAGACTCCAGGTAGTACTTGTTTTATCCCTTCACGCCGAGGACCAGGCAGGTACTATATAGGACTCCGGGTAGTACTTGTTTTATCCCTTCACACCCAGGACCACACAGATACTATATAGGAATCCGGGTAGTACTTGTTTTATCCCTTCACACAAAGAACCAGGCAGGTACTATATAGGACTCCGGGTAGTACTTGTTTTATCCCTTCACGCCGAGGACCAGGCAGGTACTATATAGGACTCCGGGTAGTACTTGTTTTATCCCCTTCACGCCGAGGTCCAGGCAGGTACTATATAGGACTCCGGGTAGTACTTGTTTTATCCCTTCACGCCCAGGACCAGGCAGGTACTATATAGGACTCCGGGTAGTACTTGTTTTATCCCTTTACGCCGAGGCCCAGGCAGGTACTATATAGGACTCCGGGTAGTACTTGTTTTATCCCTTCACGCCGAGGCCCAGGCAGGTACTATATAGGACTCCGGGTAGTACTTGTTTTATCCCTTCACGCCGAGGACCAGGCAGGTACCATATAGGACTCCGGGTAGTACTTGTTTTATCCCTTCACGCCGAGGACCAGGCAGATACTATATAGGACTCCGGGTAGTACTTGTTTTATCCCTTCACGCCGAGGACCAGGCAGGTACTATATAAGACTCCGGGTAGTACTTGTTTTATCCCTTCACACCGAGGACCAGGCAGGTACTATATAGGACTCCGGGTAGTACTTGTTTTATCCCCTTAACGCCTAGGATCAGGCAGGGTATATTTAGCGTCATGTTTTGAGTTTATGGTATGATGGGGATAGAACCAATGACTTTCCCTCGCCAGTCAGACACTTTATCAACAAGACCACGGGGCTGACTACACGTAAATGAAAGGTCTCTGACTGGGTGACATAGTGAGAGGTACGCTGAGCCATACTTTAGTTGTATCATAAGCCATTAGCAAACAAACATGTCGCTGACCTTTGACCTTCACACAGGCCCAATTTATATGTCTGGGAGCGGGGCTGCGACAGACATGTCGATAACTGATTTCTTTTTTTATATAGCGTTAAACCACCTCCTGACTACAGCAACATAACATTTGAGCCGTTCATAATATGTAGGGTTGGGGTGGAGGGAGGGGTGTGTGTGTGTCTGTGTGTGTGTGTGTGTGTGTGTGTGTGTGTGTGTGTCTGTCTGTCTGTCTGTCTGTCTCTGTGTGTGTGTGTGTGTGTGATATGGGGGGAGGTGGATGGTGGAGGGAGTTAGGGTGTGTGTGTGTGATGGGGCGGGCGGAGTGGAGAGGAGTTTTTCAGTGTGTGTGTGTGTGTGTGTGTGTGTGTGTGTGTGAGAGAGAGAGATATGGGGGAGGGGAGGAGTTAGGGTGTGCATGTGTGTGATATGGGGGAGGTGGAGGGGAGGGAGTTAGGGTGTGTGCGATGGGCGGGCGGAGGGAGGGAGTGGTAGGTGTGTGATGGGGCGGGGTGGGGTCTGGTGTTGGGAGTTAGGGTGTTTGATGGGCGGGGTGGAGGGAGCTAGGGTGTGTGATGATGGAGGGGTGACAGGAGGTGGGGGAGGGGATGTTATTCGGTGAATATAGTAAGTAAGACAATCCACGGGGTTCAGCAAGACAGGACAAAAATAGTTTTTTGTAACTCTATTTCACCTTGGTTACCCACCGAGCGTGCAAAGGGTATTAGATACGCTTAGATATTTGGCTTACTTCTCGGTTCTGATTCTGTGACGTCACTGACCCCTTTCCAATGCCGCGTGATGCTACTATCTGGGTCGGGTAGACTAAGGCCAACAAAATATGTTCTGTATTCAAGTGTTACGTGGAGGGATGTCAGACAGACTGGCTGACGTATAAAAGGGAATACTTTTCAGAACGTGTGAGTAAGTGAGTTTAGTTTTACGCCACACTCAGCAATATTCCAGCTTTAAGGCGGATTATGTGTAATTATGTGTAAATAATTTAATCTTTACCAGACAATCCAGTGATCAACAACATGAGCATTGAGCTACCCATTTGGGATAAGATGACACGTGTCAACCGAGTCAGCGAATCTGACCACCCGATCCCGTTAGTCGCCTCTTACGACAATCATGGTTACTGAAGATCAATTCTAACCCGGATCTTCACGCATTTTCATAGCACCGCCAGTGTTACGCTTTCCCTCCAGTTATCTCTACAAGTAGGCTCGTGAACTGATCTTCGACAGGCTCGCTTGTTTACACATATCAACGAATCCCAGTTGCGTAGATCAGTGCTCCCTATGTCCACTACTTTATATCTTGGTGCAGAAACCTTTATTTACATGCCTTCATATAGCTAGAATACTGTGGCATTAAACCAACACAAACACACATAAATGGTTGTTTTTTAGAGAGGACTCCTATGATACTACACGCATTATTTGTGTTTCTATTTAGGCGACAGATCGTTTCCTGATTCATGTGAAGCGTCAGTCATCAACACTGAATCCCGAGTCCAAATTGTTGTTTTGTAGTATTTCCAGGAGAGTGAAAAATCAACGATTCGTTACTCTTCATCCCCTAATTGACGATACATTTCAAACGCAGGTTAAAAGAGACAGATATTTAATCCACTCGGATTCAACAGTGTCGGGTGTCTCGTGAAGAAACCTGTTTTCACCAAGGTCGTTGAGGGGAAATGTTGTAATTGTATGTACAGTTAGGTCAAGGACACGGAAATGAGATACAGGTCGACGATCAGCTGTGGTGTCCATTTCACGTTGTGAGTACATACAAAGACGGTGTTACTTTATGACTGGTTAACACCAGCCTACGGGTTACACAGAGGGCGCACAATGTAGTACTTTGTTTCACGTACAAACATCGACCAGTCAAACACTGTTGTGTCGAAACTGAAATGACCTTCGAGTTATCCGAGGTTACACACAGTCGCAAATTATGACTTAAGAAGGAATACACAGGGCCAAACGTTTACTTCGATTCAACCCTGATATCGACACATCAAAGTTCGACACAACGCTGTAATAGATGTACAGAAGTAAAAACGTGGAGACAATAAATAGTTCTTTCTTCGCTGTTCGAGACATCAGGGTGATAACAGAACTATTAAGTTTGTTTTTACGCTGGTTATGCAGCGTCCATGTAATGGCTCATCGTAAAACATCGATATTATTTCTAGTTGTCTGCTTTTCAATACAAGCGGAAAGGCAATATTATAACAACCGAGCATAGATTTATTGAATTATAAATAAGTAAATATTGACATCACAATGCGTACATTTATAGATATCAATTTGTTTTATATACATCTTGGATAATCTAGGGTAATAAACATTCATACCATTGTATTAACCCATTTTCGTGAACAGCGAAGTGACTTCACTATCTCCTTATAACAACCGAGAGTGAATTTATCGAATTTATCAAACACGAACTTTACAATGCCTAAATTTGTTGATTTCAATGTATATGTTATACATCCCTGACAATCTAGGGTATTAAATATTTATATTATTATATACTGAACAACAATAGAAACGAACCACACTATAGCGCACCGACGATGCTCAGATATGGGTACATTGCAGTCTGGCGGGGATATTTCGTATTATATGGGTGGTGCGTTTCTAATGTTGTTCAGTATATTACACCAGTTTGCTTCAATGGCGAAGTGACGTCTCTGTCTCCTTGGCGATATTGAAACAACTGATAATTAATTTCTACATCCTTGATGATTTGTGGTAAAACATTATCCATATTATTCAATTATTCAATGTGCTTCAACAGCGAAGTGACGTTCACATCTTTTTGGTGACGGTAAAACAATTGAAAATCTACTGTTTGAATTTATCAGATTCTTACATCACAATGCCTAAATTCGAACATATCAACCTATATGCTATACATGCTCTGTAATCCAGATATCACTTATTCATGACATATAATATACATTGCTGATTATGAAAAAACATATAAAAAAGTTATAAGCGTACAATCGCAAATCAAAAGTGCAATATTTTGTACTTGGGTTTACTTCCCAAGAAACAAAGCAGCCGGGATACCGAACCCAGTCAGAGCGGGTGGGTGTGCACTCAAGTGTAACGGCTGGTTCATTTGCAGATGCCCTCACCTCCAATTGTGTGTGTATATATAGAGATGTTGGGGTTTGTAAATACATGCTCATTTTTTGTGTATTACAGTTTGCAATCAACAGACATCATAACATGTCATGTGTACAAGTATCACACCTGCATGTCTGTGTAATTACATAATGTGACAGAGACCGGACTCGGGCCATAAATCAATGCGTTTTGTTTATGGTTTATAGCCTGATGGGTGTTAAGTTCAAATTGCATGTGGTCAGTGATCGAAGTTGTGTATTGAATATTGTCATTAGCAGACAGGCAGGCATACACATAGGCGTCAATAAAGCATACATTGAGTTTTGTCTGTGACAATGACATATCTATATCACAGTTAGAAATTCTGTCAACGCTAAATAATGACATTGCTTTTAAGTATCGAACTGATAAAGTGACTCGGTAAGACGAACGTGTGGTGAAATAGACAAATGAAATTATATAAACAGTTAAATCGGTAATCTACTGTCATAACATATAAAAAGCTCGCGACTGTGAAATATCAACAAAACATTAGAAAAATAGCTCACACCAAAGCCTTCACCGAGTATTCACCGGACAACCCGCTTCCAAGCTGCGCGAACCTATTTCACTGCGCAGCCCACCTGTTGAAACCACTTTCTCCCCCAAGCGCGTTTTTTTCATCGCGTTATTTTTCAACTTTATAAGTTGAATTTGCATTTTTGATGATTTGTTTCGGTAAGTCCATACCGAAAGGTATCAGAATCTGCAAAGTTGTGTTTTACGTTGCATGTGACCTTTAACTAAAATGGAATTTAGACTGGATGACAGTTCCTCGTGCCTTTTCCCAGCGAATGGGATCAATCTTATTAGACAGTTACACAGTATATTCTACACAGTTAATACGAAAAATGCACTCTTGTGAAAGAAAAGAAAATTTATAAAAAATGCATTCTTATGATATGACATCGGAGAACACGTGACGCATGTTGCTATGGGGACCTGCTATATATGTTCATAGGATATCCCGAAAATATGTCTCCCTGTAAATACGTTATCCTTTCATTGAGACGATACACATGCCCACCATAATACTGAACTGATCTCTCCGGTCTACTAGTCATACACAGTTGGTTTTGTGTTGAACACAATGTGCGTGAAGATCACAATAACAGTACAGTATAGAGTCATACTTTATACCTACATTACCATTATCATTTTGCGTTATATGCATGTTGATTTATCGTTGCTCATCAACTTCTAAATGTTCAAGCAAACACCGAACCTGAAGTAAATGCATATAATGGGAGGCTTTGATACGATAGATGGAGGTCGAAGTATCTAACATACTACAACCCAGACAAAGAAAAGGCATGTGTCCTCATGTCCCGCTGGGATGGAGACGAGCAATGCATGTTCGAGCAACTGACTGTAAAAGCATAACGATCCACCTGGGTGGGTCAAAAGAAGTTGACATCCATAAATCTTGCTTTTTGTATGCATTCCACTTCAAAGATTATCTTTTGTTAACCAATACATGTTTGAAGGCCGTGCCACCTGTAAGCTGTTGTTCGTTGTCATGTTTGATTCAGTTGTGGTTTAAAACAGCGTGTCTTAGTTTAGTGGTCAACACATTTTTTCAGTTACATATGATCAGTCTTTTGCTTGATAATGCTACATTTAAACGCTGTCTATGTTCGTTGACAAACAACTTTATTGATACATTTTACAACGAACCCAGACGGTGACTGTTTCTTGTTCAGCGAATGTATAATTGATTCTGTCTCGGGCGATCAATGCAACTGCATTCAAGCGCCCGGCATTATTCGTCGAGCATGTCTGGATGAACGACCAGCTTATTTCCACTGGGGACCAAGGTCGTTAGTTTAACAGGGCGAAACATGCAGCGATTGGTTGAAATGTAACACACCCTCTGCAAAATACCATTTGGATGGCCTTGAGCTGGTTCATCCTGCCCCATATTTTCCTGTGAGCTTATTCAGTTACACTGCCAGCTATATTAATGACCGTTGTTATCCACTTTGTAAAGACAACATTCCATCATTTACGTCACGTGATATTGTGAACCTGGGACTAACTGTGACTACGTTCTACGTGACGAGAGCAAGTGCTTTGTGAGATAAAAAAAGGTAAGCTCCTCTACTGTATATGTTTCCTTCAGTACTTTGTTACGACTGCCCTATCGAATTATCTAGGTAACCTTGCGGTATGGAGCAAAGAGGCATTCTGGACCATGATGATACATGTGATATAATATTGTAGATGAGGCGTTTAGGCTGCTTGATAGTGCAACTGGGCTTTGGCAATTACATTTCTATTGACTCTTTGTACACTGGTCCATTGTGAATTCAATGTCTTATGTTTTACTAACTGTTCAGTTCAATCTAAACAAATCAAACGGCATTAGCTATTTTCGCTAGCAGGTGGAATGGCTGTTGACAGAATAGTGCAACTGGGCTTTGGCAATGATCCTTCGCTACAACTAACTGGGAGTAGTTGGGTTTGGCAATTACATTTCTATTGATCCTTCGCTTCAACTTGTACAACTGGCTTTGGCAATAAAGCTGGTGGAATGGCTGCTGACAGAGTATAGTGTCACTGGGCTTTGGCAATTACATTTCTATTGCCAATAAAGCAGATCGAATGGCTGTTGACAAAATAGCGCTTTGGTATAACTTAAATGTGTGCAGATATTGCATCAGACTGTGTTATTCACTCAAAAGAAACACACAAGTGTTCGGATAAACGGGGCACGACTGTATATGCATCCTCTGCAGATTGTGCTGGTTTTGTGAGTAGGTGGATGTCATTCGGTTACGCTACGTAACAAATGAATGCCGATATGATGGGTCACGGGATCAAAAGGCTGTAAATATAGATACAGTAGGTCATACAGTGAGCGAGAGAGTATGGTTTTACGCCGCTTTTAGCAATGTTCCGGCAATATCACGGCAGGGGACACCGGAAATAGGCTTTCACACATTGTACCCATGTGGGGGAATCGAGCCCACGTCTTCGGCGTGACGCGCAAACGCTTTAACCACTAGACTACCCCACCGCTACTGTAGGTAATACATGCTATGTTTGCATATGTGTCCTGATATTTCCCAACTTCGGACGCCTATCTCATATGAAATTTTGCACCTATGAAACATAAGGTCATCGTGTATTCCCGTATGCACAAGCACCTTTTCCTGTAGGCTATGGCCTGATTTGCTGATATTTATAAACATGAATTCAAAAAATGACACATCGGGAAATGCTTGATCATAGAGTATTTCCAATGCTTTCCTCCTAATTGCAAAGGGTGACGAAATTTCCTAATCTTATATACTGGAGTTGGAAATATGGATGTTTCCTTAGGTGGGGAAACATTTGTAAATTTTACAATTTTCAGATGTTTTCATTCTTTAGAAACTTGCGTATCATTCCAGATATCAAGGGTATGTATTTGGACAGTTTTAGATGTCTACGTAACCAGCGCTCAAACAAGGTGATCACTGAATTTTCCACTGTATGAAATACTTGGTTCAGATTGTTGCTGTTTTTTCATAAAGGCTGGAGCCCTTTACATTAAGGCTCACATGACCTTATTAAGCTTCTGCTGATAATGATCCATTTGGTCCATTTGGTCCATTTGGTTTCCATTTAATAATGATAATAATAATAATGCCACTTATAAAGCGCAAATGTCCACACACTTCTATGAATGCTCAATGCGCTGTTTGGTCTGTTTGTCCGTATCATCAGTACTAACGAAATATAGTCACAGTTTTTCCCCCTGTGTAAAATACTATGACCTCGTTAAGCTTCTACTGATAAGGGTCTGGCTAAGCAAAACGGTGTTACACAAGCGGCCATGTTAAGGTTAGGTCACCAGTCAATCATTTCCCTTCAATCGGTTGACAGTTCTACAGACAAATGTGCAAGTGGTAGGAAAAGGGCTTTACGTGGTGTCATTCACATTATGGCTTGGCTTATTTTTGAGGATATGCAATATATTATTACTTTCTTCTGGGTTTGGGGGTCTTTTAAACCGACGACAACATTATATTCGCATTCGTATATTATCCAATGCAGTAGAGTCGTTGTATACACGATCCCTACTGGTAGTGAATAGCAAGGTATCTGTTAAAATACTTGTGTTCACAACCCAAGCTAAAGCTACACTACTACTTGAGGTACTTATGCACCCCTCTTATGCAAAAAGGTGGGACACTCAAGTAGGAAGAAATAAACTTCATGAATTGAACCAACAATTGGTTATACCTACTTGGGTTGTTAATCAAGACGTGGTGAGGTAATTTTACAACAATGTCGTATTGGCCACAGTCGGTTTACTCATGACTATCTGCTGAAAACAGATGGGTAACAACTTCTTTTTATTCGCAGTGAGTGCGACGTTTCGGTGCGGTTTAATAGCATGCCTGCTGTCCAAGCTACAATGGAACATGAAGAAGGGGGAAGTATATATATACTGGATGTAACAATGTAACAAAGAAAACAACATAATTAACATAATTGGCTAGGCAGAAAGCTGATGAAGCCGGAGAGTAGACAAAGGACAGGCGTGGAAGCCAATGGTCTTTAAGCAAATAGGAGATGTTTATATTGCAGCTGAGTGGGTACAGGATTGCGCTTGGTGGACCGGACGTCATAAGCTGATGGAATAGAAGTATCCTTGAATTCTCCGGTTGATGGTGGGCTTTGGCGTTTTGATGTGGATGGCTTCGGTGAGCTTGCGTTTAGTGAAGTCTTGTTGGCGTACAAAACAATTGGGACACTCAAGTAGGAAGGAATAAGCTTCATGAATTAAAACCAACAATTGGTTATACCTACTTAGGTTCATTTAATCAGGACGTGATGAGAATTTTTGCAACGAAATCATTGTTGGCCACAGTCGGTTTACTCATGACTGCTGAAAACAGATAGGGATGGACGTCCTCCCATGTGTGTCTCTTTGCGATGAAGTGTTCGCCATCAAGCATATACGACTTGACTGTGTGTCGACTGGAAGGACTCACATTATGATGCGACAAATCTGAAGATCTTGTTTTCCCGCGTGAGCGGGCACCTCAATTGTGAACTACCTGAGGGAAGTTGATCTGTATCATAAATTGAATCTTTGTAATGTGAATAACGAAATGCGTGCTTTTGAATTTAGTGCTCTGACATTTCTGTTTTACATAGCAATGTATGCTTTTAAAATAAAACTCATTTGGACTTTTCATTTACACTAGTGAGTCTAAACTTTGATGGGTAGTATATAAGATATGTTACATTTGACCACTTACTAAATTGCATTGTGGGTTCACAGCAGAAACATTGTGGAAATGGCAACTTAGCATTTTATAACGTGTCATTTCATGTTCAGTAATTGACAGATTGACAGATTGGTTGTCTTATACACCCATCGATGGGTCCTTTGCTGTGAAAGCTTTGCTTGCCCAAACAGAACTGCATTAACTCTTTGACACCTGATTGAAATCTTTGAGCGACCTCTTGGCTATACATTCATGTCATCGCTACACAGTAACTGGATCTCGCAACAAGTCCTTTCATACGTTTTGATTTGTCAGAAACGATCAGGGCATGTTGTTGTGCAGCTGCGAATGAACACAATACACGGGAAGCCAACCGTAGCCGTATATCGACATACAATACAACTGCTCCACGACAGGTTTGCAGTCCCTCTCTCTACCAGGCATTGAGAAAATTAATACGATTATCCGTTTGGATTTAATAAAGTCAAGCGATTTTAGTGTCAAGAAACAATGGGGACTGGCAGCGGTGAAAAGAAAGGGTACGTATGTTAAGAAACATGTTCCTTTTAAGTGATTGGTATAATGCATTTCGTTTTCGAACGTCACCCAGGTTGTAATTCTGAATTTAGATTCTGACTTTGGGACGAGCCCCGTCCGCTTGGCCTGGTGTAAAAATATGAATATGCTGTTCCCATGATAACAAGGATAACAAGGGATAACAAGCGGACTGCTAAACTGTTGTCAGTAGGTTGATCAAATTTCAAATGTTTATACTATGAAAGACCATAGGCCCATATACATGAAGTGCAAATGACACACTATTGGTTCAATAAAGAAAAGATTAGCATTTCATTTCTACTCTTGAAGGCATATTTGAAATATAAAATAACAGATTATAAATCTTGATAGTTTGTGGTTGCGATAAGGCGAACAAATTGTTGTACTGAAGGCCGAATTAAATATTTATTGGGTATGTATTTCTTTCAAATGTTGTTTAAGGGCGGACATATAAGGGTGAAATGGAACAGATCTTCGATATTGTTTAAATTACAATATATGTATACCCTTTCAGATTTTTTCATTTTTGTGATGTCTCCGGGTATCAATATTTAGCCTTGTACATCCAACTCGAGCACGAGCAAAGTCGGTTGCAAATGTACACAAGGTCGAATCTATAAATACATATTTCTCTGCTTCAAGGCTAACCTTAAAACTTTCATAAAAATCATATCTCATGCTATAGTCCGTTTGGCTCAAAAGCGGACCGATGAATTGCAATCTAACTCGAAAACTAATAAACATATAATACTCAATGAAACGCTGATCATAATCAAAACATCAGACCAACTCTGTGATTTGTTTGCAGAATTTATGTTCTAAAATTAAAAAAGTTGTTTAACAAACTATCATTAAAATTTTGACACAGTTCACCATTTGTTACGAGGGAGGAGTGCAGAGAAAGGGACAGCCAGGTGTTAGAGAAGCACGTGCACAAGTGCCGACAACGTTATTGATTCATTAACTTGTACTGTGCCGTCTCCATCCTTTCTCGCACACCTGGCTGTCCCTTTCTCTGCACTCGTCCCTCGTAACATATAGTGAATTGTGTCGATATTTTAATGATATAGTTTGTTAAACAACTTTTTTATTTATAGGACATAAATTCTGCAAAAACCTCACAGAGTTGGTCTGAGGTTGTGATTATGATCAGTGTTTCATTGAGTATTTTATGTTTATTAGTTTTCGAGTTAGATTGCAATTCATCGGTCCGCTTTTGAGCCAAACGGACTATAGATGCTAATACATTTGTCCATTCTTGATAGTCCATTTCTTTATCCCTGTCATAATGTGGCAAGGTAATTCCA